CATCCAGGAATAAGGCTTATCGCTCCATTTTAGTAAATTTTTAGGGTTTTATTGTTTATTTGTTTGTTTTCATAACTCCTTTTCTATTTTTGTTTGTGTTTGTTTTGAGATGGGATTTTGCTACACTGCCCAGACTGGTCTCAAAATCCTTGGCTTAATGAATCTCCCTACTTCAACCTCCAAATAGTTGGGACTATAATCACATACTACTATGTCTGATCACTATATGTCTCCTTTTTTCTATTTTTAAAAACATTTTGGGTCTGCCAAATAGCTCAGTGGATTAAAGCGCCTGCAAGCAGGTACAGGGGCCAAGGGTTCGATCCCCAGGACTGCCATGCAGGCCCCACCCCTGGGAAGCACTGAGACAGCAACTGAGACTGGGCATGGTGGCACATGCCTGTAATCCCAGCTCTTGGAAGGCTGTAAAGAGGCGGTTCACTATGAGTCCAATCTAGTAGTGAGACCCTGAACACCCTGTAGACCCTTCCCTAAAATTAAAAAAAAAATTATTAGTATTGCTTACAATACATAATGTTTACCCTTTGTGTGGAGTTGCTGACTTGCACTTTGGAAAATGGGTGGGAATCAGGTGGATGGAGAGAAAGGAGGAGAAGACCAAACAAAACCCAGAGCAGAGGCAACGGGAGCTGGTACTCAGCCCCGGGCTGGAGAGCAGTGGAAAGCAGGTGGGCTGCTCAGGACTAGGAGCTTAGAAGTCACCCCCTGTTGTGATCCAAACATCTAGAAGGCCAGAAGGCCAGCAAGTCCCCCAGCTTTGCCTGACAAGCTCTTCCAAGAGCTTGACTGCTAACCTGCGGAAGCAGCTCAAGTGTGACCTCAGATGTCGCCTCAGCTGCTATTAGACACTGGCACGACGCTTCCCGTCCAGGAGACCCTCTGGCTCTCTTCTCCTCCCCAGGCTCTTTCCCTCTTGGGACCCCCAGGATCCTGGCAGTGAGGGCTACCCATTGTGGCTGAAGTCAGAGCAGCTGACTGGGTGGGTCTTAGATTAATCAGGCTATGGACCAGGAAATTGAAACACCTGCCTTATTTAACCAAAGCGGAACTTCAAATCAGCCCTCCCACTGCATCCCAGCGATCCCAGTGCCTGCACAGGGCTACAGAGGCTGCCACTAAATTGAACAGGTTCAGAACCATTATGCCCTGGTCCCCACTCTAACCTATCACATGGGAATGCCTCTAACCAAACAGAAGCAAAGTAAACCTGGGTTTATGTTACATCTTCCAACTGTCTAGGCTGTGCAAGTCATGTCCTTCTCTGATCCTTGGGTATCTAACTGGTCAAAGGAGAAGAATCACCCCTGCATAGAACAGCTCATGAGGAATGAGTAAGGCAGGTGGACATTTCATGGTATTAGCAAATCATACACTGTCCTGATGTGTAGGTCACATATGCCTATCAACACAGAGACACTAAATTCCAGGAGCTCACAGTCCTCAGCAGGGAGCCCTCCCAAGTGTGCCCAGAAGAGGGGCAAGTGGCACAGTCTGAGCCACCAGGGAGATTCCTGGAAGAGAAGCTGTGATTGGATTTGAGAGGAGCACAATGGTTCAGGTTGGGAGGTGAGAGAAACAGTGGGAAGAGCCAGGTGGACAAGGCGACAAAAACAAAGAACAGGAGATGTGCAAGTCTGCAAAACTGAGGTCACCAAATCTTCCCCTCAGTCCTTCAAGTTCATTGATTCTCAGCATCTAATTCCAACAGCGTCAGGTTTGGGGAGTGAGTACTGACTTCTCTCATTCTGCCACTCATGCTTTGGATTCGCTTTGGTATGAGATTCTCAGAGGTCCAGGAGTCTGCACTTAACATTACCGCAGTCATAAATCACATTCCTAGAAACTATAAAGTCTCAACAAACACTTGCCAATACTCTTCTGTGCCCAACTCCACAGACGTGGATTGAGTCTTATGTGGGTGATGAAGCTACAACCAAGGGAAGTCCACAACAGCTCCCACTCAGCATAGGGTAGTTGGTGAGAAAGCTTGCCAGAGGGGGTGAGACTTGGTAGATGACTAGGATTTTGTTAGGTTAACAAAGAGGTGTGAAGACACTGAAGGCAGAAAAAGAGGCAAGTGCCAAGACTCAGAGGGTGTGAGTGCTGCCTTCTGGGAAAGGTCAGATGGTCACATGTGGCTGGCATGGGAGGTTAGGAGCATGGACTGTGTGGGGGCCAGAGGAGCTCATATGAAAGAGCTCATAGTCCAGGCTGAGGAGCTGGTCTTTATTAAAGCTTAAGAGGAGAAGGACATGGTCGACGCTGACCTTTAGGAAGGTGGTATCACATGGAAAGTGGCTAGGACTGGGGAGTCTGATGGGAGGGAGATAAAGGAGGAGATCACACGTACAAAGATATGATAAGAAGAGCTGTCCCTTAGCTCTATGAGGTGGAGTGTGTCCTTCTATGCCCATAGTCCAGCCATGGGAAGAATCTTCCACCTAGAAACTGGACAAGGAAGCTTTGTACTCACCAGTAATTCACATCAGTACAAGTCTGAAGGAGCCCCTTAGTGCCTTGGCCTCTCCTTTGGGGCGCTTCAAGGATAACACACAGGGTACTAGAGCAGAGAGCTAGCAGGTGCCCAGCAGAGGCCAGGGTGTCCACCCTCCCATCAGAGACTCCTGCTACTCATTCTAGGCCAAGAATGATTCAGTCCTTGGAGGTTGGATGACAGGGCAGTCCTCTATTCAAGAACCCACTCTTGCTTTCCATGAACCAAGGCTACTCCATCTGATCATTCATTTATCAAACACTCCCTGCCACCTGCTCTGTGACCAACATGTGCCAGGTAACAGGGACAGAGGGAGAAATCAGGGATGGCTTGATCTCATTCTGAACTGGCCTTTCTCTAGGATGGGTATAGAGCTCAAGGAGGACCTCACAGATAGCTTTTCCACCTTGGGGAGAGGCCAGGCCAGAGGACGCAAGGGCAGCTCCAGAGGAAGTTGTGGGTTGAAGGATGCACCAGACAGGCCTTGAGGAGGCAGTTAGGGGAGTGGGAAGATTTCATCAGGAGCACCTCCTCCTCCCCTAAACGAATCAGCAAACCTCCCTGGGTTCTATAAGCAGGGCTGGTCATCGTAGCAGCAGCCGGATAACAGGACCACAAGGAAGTCCCAAAGACAAGCTTCTACAGTAGAACCTAAACTTCTTTCAGCCTGGAAACCAGCCTCATAAGGTGGACCTTCTGTCTCAGACAGAAAAGACAGGTAAGCAGGAGCTCCAGGGTCACTTGAGCTTTGAGACCTTGAGCAAACTATTCCCCAAGCACCCTATTTCTTTATCTGCAAAATGTAGATAAGAATTCTTGCCTCACCAGTCACTGGAGGATAAAGTGAGGGATTTTTGTAAATCGTTACCAGAAAGCTATCTCCGCAGAGGAGGGATAAGGAGAGGAAGACATTCAACAATTAAATTCCAATAAAACTTCACACAAACACAACAGTTCTTCACAGTCCAGCACATGAGTCCTATTAGAGTCTTCAAGGGTATTTAAATCTATGGAATGTTACACTTCCCCATGCATTGCACTTAGTTCATAAAACCATTTCTTTACTGGGCTGGGAGTATAGCTCAGTGGTAAAGGATGTGCTCTGGGTTCCATCCCCAGCAAATTCTCTCTCTCTCTCTCTCTCTCTCTCTCTCTCTCTCTCTCTCTCTCACACACACACACACACACAGGCTTTTTCTTAATCTCTATGAGAATCCTTATAAGCAACTTGCATTTGAAGAGGCGAAGATCATCATTTCCCCAAAGTAATACCTAGAGAGACTCAATGTCCTAAGATTCAAAGCCACAAAAATCTAAGCTCTCATGGGTTACTCCCTGGGCTTTGGAGGCTGCCTTCATACTCTCATAGATGGTCCTTGGGGGATCCTGTAAATCCTGGGCAACAGGAGGACAGGAAAGGAGAGGTCACAACCTTGCTCTGCATGTTGAGCTCAGTAACCATTTCTGAAGGTTGCACACTGTGCCCCCACTCATGTTCCAGCTCCTATTCTGTATCTTAGGACAACCCAAGGTAGGGAGGAGAGAAGAAGGGGTCATAGGCCTTCCGTGCCAGCTCTTCCTCTGACTTGCAGGTGCTGGCTTCCTTTCACAGGCTGGCTGCCCAAAGAATCAAGTTTTTTCCTACTCCCACCCAGATAACCAACACTTCCCTGGAGGCCCAGTCTGACCCTCAAACTCATTATTCCAGGTTAGATCCCCAACAAGGCTGTGGGCCCAGACAAGCTGGAATATCATGCTGAGAGGAACCGTAGTCACCTGGCCCCATAAATCCCATACTTCAGTGCTAGTTCCTAGCAGGGCCTGGCACTTGAGCCTGCCTCCTAGGGGGCACTGTCAACCTGGTGTGAGGGTCACTCCTCCTTTCTTCTGACTGACCCTTCCTACAGTATCACCTGCCAGATTAAAAGTCTCCCAACAGATTAAAGTCTTAAGTGTCCTTTGCTCTTTTCCAGGGTTACCGTAGCCCAGCACAGGAGGAGGCCACCTAGTGGGAGGCGGCGGGGGTTAGGAGTGCAGCGGGTCACCAGGAGCTTCCAGAGCTCGGATCACGGACTCACGCCACAGGGGCGCCCACACGGACAAGTTCCCTAAATTTGGCTTCTTACTTCTCAGGGGGCCGCGCTCACCCACTAACACCTTGAACGACCCGATATGCGACCTAACAGGAGATTCGCCCTCACTCACCGAGATTACGCTCCACTGGAGACCAAGTTCAACACGGATCCGCAGCGTGCTTCCACTGTCGTTATGCATGCGATGCACCCCGGCTCTGATCTGCGCCCCAGTGGAACGGCCAGAGGCACGCGGCAGTCTCCCTGCCCGCCGCTGAGTCGGCACCCGAGCTAAGCGTCCCAGCGCCTCCCCCGGCCGCGCCCGCCCGCTCTGCGCCCGCTGACCTCTCTGCGCTCACCCGGCCCTTCACCTCCGCTCTGAGCTCGTCCTTCCCCAAGGCGATCCCCGCGGTGGCCTGGAGCTCTCGCCAGTGTCCCGCCACCGCGCGGGGTCCCACGTGCTCGGAAGCTCAGCTTGGGGCCCCGCGCCCCGCCCCACCCCCCGCGCGCCCCACCCCTCGGCCGGTCCAGGAGGGGGCGGGAGGATTCTACAGACCCTGCCTGGCACCGCCCCCCACCGGCGCGATAGAGAGCAGCCACCACGCCACCCACTTGTAGACGGCGCCCTGCGGCCGTGGGGTCAACGTGTGCACACCGGGTGTTGCGCAGGAAGGGGGCTGGCCAGGCGAAAGACTCGCGCCTCGCACACAGGAGCCTGCGGGGGGGCGGGGGGGGACGCCTGAGGTTTATTAGTTTGCCCTGGGCCAGCGTGGCTCCTGTAGCTGCCCACCGTGGGACTTTGTGCCAGCTGGCTGCCTCTGCCCCGCGTCTGGCCCAGCCTGGCTCGCCTTGGAGGGACCAGATTAGGACAGAGCAGAGAAGGCCAAAACGCAGGCTGGCACTCAGGCTCCTACCTGTCTCCAGCTCCTGAGGGGGATAAGGGAGCCTCCCCTCTCTTCCTTCATCTCTCCCGGGTTTTCCTGGCCTCTCATCCAAAGTTTCTCTTATTCCTTTCTCTGTCTTCCATCCCAGTCGGCTTGCCTTCTGTCAGTCACAGACCTTGTGTCTGTCCCTTTTCTACTCTGTGAGCTCAGGAGGCCCCCCCGACTGGTCTGCTCCTTACTGTGTCCGGGAGGTCCCAGGAGATCCTCAAACTTTGAATGTGTAGGTTGGATGAATAAATTAGTACCCTTGCCCCATTTCTGCTCTAGGAGTCAAGAGTACAGGTTCTGACCCAGCTTTTGTATTGAAGGGGACACCTGACCAGTTGCAGTCTTTTTCAGGGTCTTCTTTTCTAAAAAGAAACCAGTCACACTCATACACATTCCACTGTGTATCCACTGGCTCTTAGGATGGTCCAGGAGATGGACAAATGCAGACAGGCCTCTTTCAAGGCCCAAGGAGCTTGCTCAGGGTACATCCTGGCTCCAGATCAGCTGACTGTAAGAGCAGGGTGGACCCGGTGTTGTGTAGCTGAGCCGCCTCTGCAGTCCCTTGAGACCTCAGCTTGGGAAATACAAAGGGCCCTTGTCCAGTCTCATGCTCCTGTTGTCCAGCTAGTACGTGCAGCTTCCAGGGACTTAAGTATCCTCAAGGCCCCAAATTTTGGGCCCAGGCTTTAGGTCCCAGTGTGGGAAAGCCCTCTTGGATACTGGAGCCCCAGACAATCCCCCACTACACCCCCTACTCCCACTTAAGTCTATCAAACCTCCTATGGTCACTGCTATTTCCCTCAGAAGAAAAATATCCCTCGAATTCCAATATGAGGACCCAGGCCTGGTCTTAACTTGCATCAAACACAGGAGATAGTGGCTGATACAAGGCTCTGCATGCCCTGCTATGGTCCAGCTTCCTTACTTTACAGCCAAAGAAATTGCATCCCTGAGACACATGGCATGTGAGCTGCCACATCAGATGGCTTGGGGCTGGAAAGCAGAGGCAAAAGCCTTATCCTTGAATCCCACTGCCTTGGGTTCAGATCCTAGTCTTGTCTCATCTGTCTGGTGATTTCTATTTGAGCTCCATGCTCCTCTTCTGCAAAATAGAGTAATAATAATCCTTTCCTGCTGGCCTGTCTAAAGTTTGTTGTTTTCCCAGACTGTTGCCTATCCTCTATCCCAAGTTCCCGAGGTTTGAGGAGCTAGCATCTCCTCTAACAAGGGGCTGGGAGTTCAGGTTTCCCAGCACTTTTTGAGGCACTTCCGTGATGAGATTTTGGAGGTCATCAAGCCTAACACATTCCCCAACAGAGTGCCCCCTTCATACACCCCAGAGAGCCCCCACTCAGCTTCAACTTAAGCACCTTTGCTTTTATGAGTTTTATTTACATTTCCTGTTAAACATTTATTGAAAGCCCACAGAAGATTCTATGGTAAAAGAATTTAGAACTATTGATCCAACCAGGAAGTTGAGGCCCAGTGAGTCAGTCACACAAAAGCACCCACCAAAGGGGTAGAGTAGCACTGAGGAAGCCTGCCCTGAGCCCAGGGCCTAGAGATGGAGGCCCAGGCAGTGTAATGGTCCCTTGGAGGTGGGTAATGGAGCCAGGGGGTCATAGGGAGGGTCCCATTAGCACAGCAGGTCAGGGGGAAAAGCACAGCCAGGCTTGGCTCTCTTGATGCATTAGGAGGTTTCTTGTATTTTCAACCCTGTGGAGGCATTTGGCTCACTCAGGCTTTCTCATCTTCTCTCTCTTTTGGCTTCTCTCATCTCCCTCGAGAAAACCTGCTCAGAGAATCAGTGCTGGGAGTAGAGCCCCTGACTAGTTCAGGCTCCAGCTTGGCTGGGGTGGTGTCTCTGTCACCCCTCACTGCCATCCCCTGCTTCACAGGAACTCCAACACCCTCAAGATGGAGCCCTCCACCTCTCCAGCCTGCTACTCCTGGCCTAACGCCCCCTGCCCAGCTTCCTGCTTCTCAGTAGCCACGCTGAGTCCTTGCCCACCTCCTGCCTAATGTTTGCTGTCCCTCTCCCTGAGTGTCCTCTTTAGGCTTCTCTGCCCTTGGCTTCAGCTTTCTGGCTCATCGCTTTCCCAGTTCCAGGGGCTCTACCTTTGTTATGCTGCTGTCCCCCTCAGTGTCTATTTCCCCTCTCTTAAAGGTTTCTGTAGGCTGAGGAGATAGCTTGGTGGTCTAAGCACCTGCCTGGCAAGCTCAGGGACCCAGGTTTGATCCCTGGTACCACATGCCATGCCCTCCAAGTGGGTCACTGAAACTGGGCTTGGTGGTGCATGCCTGTAATCCCAGCACTGGGGAGGCTGAGACAGAAGGATCTCCAAGAGTCTGCTGTGTAGTAAGACCCTGTACCAAAGAAAGAAAGAAAGAAAGAAAGAAAGAAAGAAAGAAAGAAAGAAAGAAAGAAAGAAAGAAAGATTAAAAAGAATTTTTTTTAAAGAAGGTATCTGATCTTTGAGGGCAGCCAGGGTCCATGAGGTGAACAGTTAAATGTTCAGGACCCAGCACTGTCGTCATGTGGCCAGCTTCTGTGTCTGTGGTGTGTGAGTGAGGAACAATTCGTTCTCACCTTCTTTGCACTAGCAATTGTGTTAAGCGTCTCACTTAATCCTCACGAGGATCCTGTGAGGTAGGCATTATTATTCCCCTGTTAGGTGTAGGAAAACTGAGGCTCACAAAGAGGAGGTGAAAGTCCAAAGTCACACAATGAGTCTGTGGGTCCCCTTGCCCTGGTACCCTGTTGGGAAGGAAGGCCTTGCTGAGTTCTCAAGTGATGGCTGAGCCATAGCATTGGGACCGACACTGTTGGCTCTGGTTACACTGTGCTGGGTTGACTCCAGCAGCTTTGTCTTTCTTGCTGTCTGGATCACTGCATGGGCGTGCACTGACCGCTGTGGCAGGAGCTGGGCTCCTCAGGTTTCTCAGGCAAGGCCTGGGGCACAGATGCCAAGTGCAGCCTGGCATGCCAGGATGCAGGCACCAAGGGAGGCAGTGCTGGGGAGCAGGAAGCCTGACCTAGGCTCTACATCTTCCAAAGCAGGAGTGGCTATGTAATTTGTAGAACCTAGGGAAAAATGCAAATGGGGGCCTCTTGTTAAAAAAAAAATACTAAAAGTTTCAAGATGGGGATGGCAGAGTATTAAATCAAGTACAGAGACCTTCAAAGCATGGTCGTAACTGCACAGGCTGTATACCCAGGAAGTCAGCCCTGTCCCCCAGCCTTGGTTTTTCACCTGTCTTCTTCAGGACTGCACAGTGGTTCAGTGGGAGAAGCCAGGATCGGAGCCCTAGCCTGTATTTCAGCACAGCTGGTGCTTCTTGTAATGTAGGCAAGGGAGAGAGGGTAGGAGGGAGGTGGAGAGAGGCTGCTCAGGACAAAGAGGGCCACTGTGCAGACACAAAGACCTGACCACAGAGGCCCTGTGGGGCTGGGCCAAACAGATGGATGGAGCTGCGTGACTATCCATGGTGACTGGGAGTGCAGCCAGGAGCTGCTTCCCAGTCCCTCTCTGGCTGGGGGGAGGTGGGTTGCACGCAGGAAATGGGTCAGTAAGGGGAACTGGACTCAGGGCATTGCTCCTTACACGCTGCTGAAGACCTTCAGAGCCAGAACCTGCCCCTTCCCCTTTCCCAGAAGCTGCTTCATGCTGCTTAACCACTCTGCGTTCTCTGCCCCAGTGAGGCAGGGGACCAGGCACCTGACTCTGCTACAGCTCCAACCTCACAAATCCTGCTTCTGGCCACCCTGCATCACTCACAGGGGGTGAAACGTAAGGCTTCCGTGTGGCAGTCAAGGTCCTTTGTGACCTGCCTTGCTGACTTTTCCACACTCATCATCGCATTCTCCATCAGCCCCCACACATCCCACCATTCTCCCTCAGGGTCTGTGCAGTCACACACAGCCCTGCGTTCACTCATGCCTTTCCATCATCCTGAGGTGCCCTTTTCCCTGCTCCACGTGGGCTGAAATCTTTTCTCTTTCACAAACCAGCCAAATGCCGCCTCCACCAGCCAGCTCTCCTCCACCCCCACACTTGGCCTAGACCTCACCTACGGACACATCCACCCACCCTGTCACAAATGTGGTATTTACCCATTCTCTTCAGTGCTCATTCCATGCTGGCTTGTGTTGTGGCTGTTCTGCGTGGAGGGTGGAGCCTACAGGGCAGGTGGGCAGCAAGAGGGGGGCAGTGGAAAGCAAGTCACGGTGTGCAGAGAAGCAGCAATACAAGCCTGACCCCAAAAGGTTTTTCTGGCTCAGGCTGGTTCTTGTGTTCAGATAGCGTTGGGTCCAGAGTGGCAGGAGTTAACATTCAGGGCCATTGTCGTTGACAGTGAAAAGGTTCAAAGGGGCCAGCTCATCAAGGGCTTTATTGCCATACTAAGGAATTTCTTGTTTGTTTAAAAAACACCTGCATTTTTTCCTCAATCAGGTTTACCAAGTAACTGATTTTTGCTCTCACCTTCATCACTTCCTTCCTCTTGATTACCTTGAGGTAATTTTTCTGTGTTTTTTTTCCACAAGT